TGTAGCAAAATAGCACAGTGAACTAGACCTACAGCATCCTTCTGCATGTGTTGTCTGTAATCCAGCAGGCTTACATGTAAGTCTACCTTGATCCACAGGCCATCTTTACTGGAGTGTTGCAATATCTATTTCTTTCCCAGCTATATTTAACTAGGAAAATTATGCAAGGATTTGACCTACAATGCTATAGGCAAAATAATTCTTATTTCTCTTGATCATCTGAAGGTCTGTTCTTATATGCAAAGCTTTGAACAACTGCTGGATAGCTCAGTGGTTTAGGGATTTTGATTCCCCACTGTACCTCTTCGACAGGGGCTGGACATGATGATCCATTGGGTCCCTTCTAGCTCTGCAGCTCTAACATGGTTATTATTTATCTTTATTGTAGTCGTGATTCCAGTAACCCTATATAGCAGATCCAGAATTGTTCCTATTTTATAGGTATGCAAGATTGTGACTGATACAGGATGGTAGTGATAGATATGAGCTTTTAGTACACTTCTCCAGGCACCATTGTTCTGTGTGGGGTGGGGAGGGAGAGAGAGAGAGAGAAAGAAAGAGAAATATCTATTTAGGTGAAATCATTCTTTAAACATGTCCAGCTCTAGTTTTGAGATACTTCAAACCATATTAGGTTTTTCCCAAGAAGAGATCAGGAGGTTTAAGCACAGAAACATGTATTATGATCAAGGAACCATAGGTATAAATCAGATGCAAATCTGAACATGGTCTTTTTGTCGTAATTCTATCAGGTGCACAGCATATAGGATAATTCAGTCCAAATTCTGTTCATTCTTGTCATGAGTAAATATCTTTCACTAGAACTGGATTGCATATTTTAAGTTCTCACCTTCCATTCTCAGCTACACTAGCATCCTAATTTTATAGTTCCCAATTTTATATCTGGAACATAAACTGTGATCTATTCTGTGTGCCTTCAGTTGAATTTATTTCATTTCATATATTCATTCATTTACTTACATTTTTATTCCATCCAAGTAGTAGTGAGGCAGCAGACACAACAAAATATAAAAATAATAGAAAAAAACAATTAAAAATCAAAAGGAAAGAAATCCAAATTCTGGGCCCGTGATAAGCATGGTCCTAGGGTGCAATAAACAAGAAACATAGGCTGCAAAATAAATATTTCTGGTCGGCGGTCAAGCTACAGAAAGGCTTTGGAGAACAGCCAGGTCTTGCCTCCTAAAACCCAGGAGGGGTGGAGCTAGCCACAGTGCTGTTGGAAGGGAATTCCAGAATGAAGAGGCCACCACAGAGAAGGCCCAATTAAGGGTGGTAGATTTCTGAGCCTCCCTCAGGATGGCCACTTGGAGCATCCGCATACAGAAGGTATGGGTGGGGAGGGTAGATATTTTGAGAGTTACTCAGACAGGTAACAAGGTCTTAAACCACAAAGGGCTTTAAATGTCAATATATGCACCTTGAATTTGGCCCGGAAGCATACAGGCAGTCAGTGCAGATTGGCCAGGACATGCGTTATTTGGTCGTACCAAGATGTTCCAGAGACCAAAATGGCAGCAGCATTCTGCACCAGCTGCAGCTTCTGAACTGCCTTCAAGGGCAGCCCCAATAGTCTTATTTTTGAGATTATAAGCACATGGACCAGCGTTGTGAGGCTTCCTGTTGATATAAGAGTGAAAGTATGTGATATGCCTTAGATGGTAAAGGGTGGACTTGGCCACGGCCAAGATCTGATTCTCCATTGTGAGGACTGGGTCCAACAACACACCAAGATTTCACACCTGATCTTTCAGGGGGAGTGTGACCCCATCAAGACCAGTTAGACAGGCACCAAGTCAGTCAAAGGTCCCTCCCAACAACAGGACTTCTGTTTTGTCTGGATTCAATTTTAAACTGTTAATTCTTGTCCAATGGTTGTTGTGGGTTTTTCGGGCTCTTTGGCCGTGTTCTGAAGGTTGTTCTTCCTAATGTTTTGCCAGTCTCTGTGGCTGGCATCTTCAGAGGACAGGAGTAGCACTCTGTCCTCTGAAGTGCTACTCCAGTCCTCTGAAGATGCCGGCCACAGAGGCTGGCGAAATGTTAGGAAGAACAACCTTCAGAACATGGCCAAAGAGCCCGAAAAACCCACAACAAACATTAGATCCCAGCCATGAAAGCCTTCGTGAATACAATTCTTGTCCAGTTCATAACTGTGGCCAGGCAGTGCTCCAGAGTCTGCACAGCTTTCACAGCTGAGGAGAAGGAGAGAAGAGTTGCGTGTCATCAGTGTACTGATGACAGCGAACTCCAGATGATCCTTCCCAGCAATCTCATGTAGATGTTAAACAGCATGGGGGAGATGATCAGCCCCTGTGGGAAACTGCATTGCAGTACCCAAGGGGACAAAACTGCACATCTATTCATAAGTAAGTCTCATTGACTTCAAGGTCTGTATATACTTATCAGTGAATGTCCCATTGAACTGTGGATAAATGTGCATAGAATTTCACTATAAAAACACAGTTTTGTTATATGCTGGAGGAGCAGCAGTTTATACAAACCCCTCTGCCCATAGCTGTAAAATAATACACAATATTCTTTGAATCTTCTTGCTAAATGATTATGAAACTATTTAGAGTCTGCCAATATTGACTTTTCTTTTTCTGTATGGTCTGATGCCTTTTCTAATGTCTTGCCTATTAGCAAAAGTAATGGCAAATGTTCCCTTTCTCCTCTTCTCTCAGTTCTAATTAGGTCTCCAGTCTTGATGGAGTTGAGTTTGTTGTATTTTGAACTCCAGAAAAAGAGCAAGTTTCTGACTTTGTCTTTCAGCAGACCTAACATTGCACAGGCATGTGTGTGTGTATGTGTGTGTGTATGTCTCTCTCTCTCTCTCTGTGTATATGTGTGTATGTATATATATGTGTGTGTACGTGTATATATGTGTGTATATATATGTATATATATATGTGTGTGTGTGTATGTATATATATGTGTGTATATACATATACGTACTGTATACATATATATGCATACATACACACACACATACATATACAGTATACAGTACATATGTATATATGTCTGTGCAGTGTTACGTCTGCTGAAAGACACAGTCAGAAACGTACTCGTTTTCTGGGATTTAAAATACAACAAACTCAACTCCATCTAGACTGCAGGCATACATACACATACTGGCTTGGGCAGTAGGACATTTTTCCGTTCCTTGAAATGCAAAGAAATACTTTAATGCACAGTGTCACGATGAATCTGTTTCTGGTTGAGCATTAGGCCAGGATCTTGCCATTGCTAGTTCAGACCCATTGCTAGTTCAGACCCTGTCAGCATTATTATTATTA